ACTAATAATTATTACAAATATTTAAATGCTAAATAATTACATATAATCATTTATTATAAAAGACTATAAAAGATAAAGATGAAATAAAGCACCTGATGAAGTTCTTCGAGATCATCTTGTATGATCTTTGTTTCATCTTCAATTCGTTTAGTACGAGCTTGAGTGTCAATAGCGATGCCAAATTTCAAGGTATTTGTGTATCCATCAAATTCGGATGTTAATTCAAAGAAAGTATTTTCGATGGATTTCGCATGAATATATTTTGTTAATCCTTTTAACTGCGTTACTTCGGCAATAAATTTTTTTATCTTTTGTATGTTGTCAGAAAGTTTTTGCATGACCACAAAATTTTCTTGATTAAAAAAATCTTTATTATCATCTCTATGTATTTTTAATAACCGAATTGAAGAATCAGCCGCAGCAACTCTATCAACTAATACACGACTAATTCGTTTATTATGTTCCGCAGACTGATATATTCCTGTTATTTCATCAGTAAAACTCACAATATCGTTTATAATTGGTACGAATTTAGAGAATGGAATTGCTATGAGGCTTGCTGCTTCATAGATTTCACCAGCTATCTGTGATGCTTTATCACCTCTATCATCACCCTTATCGCAATTTGACATTATACAGGATTTAGAATGAATGAACTAAAATTGTAATGCAGACTAATTTATATAAATTTTACTCAATAGCGATTACTTCCATCTTTGTATTTGTGGATTCTCACATTGTTACACACGTTGAATACGTACTTACGTACGTACGTACGTACTTTCACGAATTTATGTTATACGCAGCAATTATAACTTTAATCTTTGTTTAAATACATTTTATCAAACCATTATGACTAAATAATTTTGTAAAATCATCACAACTGCACTTTAATCAAGAATTTGACTATTTCTTTTGTAGCATTATATAGTACTAGGAAAAATGGGACCTACAAACTTAGGAGATCGAGATCCGCTAACTAGGAAATCGGGAACCGCAGGGTTTCTGAGCTCCGCTTTCTCTCGAGGTCTGTTGTTAACTATTAAAGTCGAACAAATTCAATAGGTTTATTTAAAACAAATATGTAGTATTGGTGTTTAAATTTTGATGGTAAATTATCAGTAAATTGTCAGTAAATAACCGATAAATTGCCAGCAAATTATCGGTAATTTCACAGCACTAATGAAATAAATTCAATTTCTTGTCTATATTGTAATATTATATGAGTGCCGCCAAGGGAAAATCCGTAAATCTTATTTAATAAGATTTGCGGGTTTTCCCTTG